GGCCATTAGTAACCATTCTTATTGACAAAAACTACTCTATTTAAATGTGCCATGCCTTTTTGAATTTAACTTTGAAATATTCGCTGAATTAAATCTCAACAAAAACAGATAATTAAAATCCATAAATTTATAGAGAGGGGAGAGAGACTTGTCAAAATATGAATATTCTGTAATATCTTCAAAAAGAGTCCTCTATTAATGGAAAGTAGACTAAATATTCTCTAGTTGATTTCAAGTCGGAATAAATCAGTTTTAAACCCCATGTAGTTGGCTATATGAATATTTAGGGTAGAAGGTTATTGAGGATTTGGAGTCTACCAAGATTGACGAATCCTGCCAGCCATGGGGACACAATGAAGGAGAAATTTAGAAGACCAGGCCCTGGCCCCAACAATATCTACCTTCAGATATCAAGACATGCATATTCTTATTACAACGGATTTTCGAATGCAAGATCCTCCCTCAAAATATTTAGATATTTCTGAATTCTACTCTAGATAAGTGTCGCTCGAGGGAGGTTGTAAAATACTGGGCAGCTGAAAGTCCTAGCTTCCTCAGATGGATATTTCCTGAAATAGATATCTCAAGATATGCCTAGTTGTCTTAAGCATAAATATTTGTATGAATATCATAATACAAGAGTTTAAAGCTAATTTTTTGTCTTCCTTTAGCCATACTTAAAATAATAACCCAATTATTTTTTTAATTTTATCTAAAACTATTTAAAAGGAATATATTTATGAATTTATGTAAACCAAATTAATGTGTAAACGAGCCATCTGACGAAGGAACATTTTCTGTCACTCATGGGGGGTCTCGTTTATTGAATTCATTCGCCTAACTTTTGAATAAATTAGAACTTATAACTAACAATAACATATTAATGTTACATACACAATTCTAATCGAAAATTCATTTCTCCAAATTATTATTGAAATTTGATAGCATATTTTCAGTAATATGTTAATTATGCAAAACATCTTCTAACCAATCACATTCGTGACTATATCAAATGTCAGCAGCACCGAATGGATGAAATAAAAAAGTTTTTTTTGGATTATTATCACAACTCACAAGATTGGAAAAGCTCTTTGATAAAACGAGATCTCACAGGAGCATTAAAACCTTGCAGAGCTTCGCTTTCTATCCCCGGGCGGAATCCCGTCAAGCGGAGGCCGATAGAAGGCCGTATGACTTTTGTTGAGAGGCACGTACATGGATCTCTCTAGTTGCTCACAATTTGTGGAGTCCCTTCACTCTTATACTCTTATAACTTAAATTGAAAATGTCATTTTAATTAAGCTTCATTCATTAGTTTAATATATATGTATTTATATGTTATATAAGGGTATTATTTTATTTAAAATTATATTTCATAGATGAAATACTCTGCTAAATCGACCGCCAGAGGTCATGCTTCCCCTATAAAAACTCGTTGTTGTTCTTCCCCGTTGGTCGCGGCTCAAACATGTTTGTAATTATGTAAATAATATTTTGTTTTATTTATTCTTAAGCCTTAAGTCAGGTAGTACTTTTACCAAATTATGTTTATCCTAAAACTCAATTAAAGCAATCTCTTATCAAAACTATTTTTATTATTTTACTTTTCAAGATTCTGCCCACGACTGTATCACCAATACCATATAGTACTAAAAAGAACCAGCAAATAACTCCAATCAGCATCAAGTATTAATTTTATATAACTAATTATCAAAAATCAATCAGATAAATCTTTCGACATAATCCTCAACATGATC